TACTTGAAAGATCCTCGAAATAAACCAAGGCTTGGTCTTTTCCTTTCCTTTCCACTTGGCTCACTTTTTCCCCTCCACTCCTTCTTTCATTTTCGAAGTAAAGTTTTATCGCGTTATTGGTTATTTCTTTATTCAGTCCTGTCACCAGAATACATGAACAGATAGGCACACGCTTCAAGTGAGGTTTCTTTCCTTCAAGACCTTTCCTATCTTTGTTTACTTTGCGGAATAGCGATTCAAAGTCTGAAAAATAAAGAAAACAGCTTTCAACTTGATCAATTGCCACTTTAAAATTAATCTAAATCAAGAAAGAATGCAGGGTAAGAGGGTTAATACCCAATTCCTAAGAGAGTGCCGCTTCTTAATTTTACACATGGTAATTAATTTGTCCGCCGAAAGTGTTGCCAGGCGCGTTGGTTGCCTGACTTCACTGAATTGGTTATTTAAAGACCCTCCAAGGATTTCCGAAACCACAGAGATCGAAAAATAGACTGTAAAATAAAAATAAACTGTTCTAGGCACCACGCTTTTAAATTGTCATTTTTTTCTTGGAAAAAAAAAAACACTGTTTAAAACAAATTACAATTCGTTCTCCCTAGACTGCAATTCCCTAAATATCTTCATCTTGGTATTCCATGGGGTCCTTTTATAATTGAAGGATGCCTAGATAAAAGATCGCAGACTTCATATTCGTGCCCTTTATTGAAGGCAAGTATATATAAACAATAGACCTTACTTGGGGCGGCAATACGCTCGGAGATTTGTCCGCGGACATTATTTGTTTGAAGAAGCAGAACAGTTTTACGAGAGCGAAGCCAGAGGAAAACTGTGAGCTTCGGTGAACAGACCTTGCATTTTTTTTTTTCTTAATTTTTCTTTAATTAGTGTCACCAATTAGTGTGTAAAACGCTAGAACAACTGACACTTAAATAAAGTTTACTACTTACTACTACTACTACTACTATCAGTCAGATATTTTCGCCCGAGGAATCGTTTGAAAATTGGGAAATATCACTCGGACATTCCCCAGTTTTAGCTGGGTCTCATTCAGTCAGGTGACGCGTTTAGACCAATGGCGTACGAGCAAAAAGATTTGATATATTTTACAAACGAATTCTGAGATATTCTTTGAACCTGTATTTCGTGCGCCACCACAGGCAGTGAAGGAGAGCGTAATGTAAATAAGAATATTACGAGCATTTATAAAGGTAGAGATAATTAAAAAACACAGGGTATTTTCATAGGGTAACTTTTCAATGAAACATAGCGTAACACAGTTAATCCTCCATATAGCCCTAAGGTTATAATTATTCCCAGATGGGTAATTCCTCTCACAATATAACACTCCTTTTACGGCTTCAGTGCACTTATGTAGATCTTGCTAAAGAAAATGGGCCTTTTTATCTTTTTCTCAGCTCGTGAGCGGGCGGAACTCAACAAATCCTGCAATCTGATTGGTTCCTGGAGTGGGCGGAATTTTCTCATCCAGACCACCACAGCGGGCGGAATCCTTCGGGTTGATCTATTTTCGAGAACGAATTGGCGGTAATCGTAAATCTTTCACCTTTTTACACTTCCATAGACGATAAATCAACAGAAGTTTATCTCTATTCACCTTTAAGTGGCAAGGAAAGTCACTGTAAGTAAATTCAATTGAGTTTTTTGAAGTTGTGAGAGTTGTTTGGCTTTGTAGCTCGGCGCTGTGATGGCGCGTAATCCTGTTTGTCTCTCCTTGTACAATTTTAAGTAAAAAATGAGTCAATTTCTGTCGAGTTTACCTCTCTGATCGTTGCTGTATTTGAGAGAATTTCTGTGGAATACACATAACGAACTTCTTCGCTATCTGCTACTCAATTTACGGTAGAAAAGTCTGATTTCGAGTGATTCGCAACGACTGACAAATTGTTTTTATAGAACTTCAAACTTTGCACGAAATTTCACACCGGAAAAACACTTTTGGAGAACTTAACTATAGTGAACTAAATGCGACTAACATAAAGAAGTTCGAAATAAATCTGTTATTTAATACATCTTTCTTTGTCTAGTATCTGAGTTACTCGCTTGTTAGAGTTTT